CCATTTCCAATTTCCCCTTTTTCACAGAGAAAAACTTTACTTTCCCTTTGCCCCACCTCCCTCTCCCATGTCCTCTCTTCCTCCTTTTGGTTATCCTGTCATCATCCTTTTCCCTTGTGTCACAACCAGCTAAAAGGGTTAGTGATGTATAAGTTGCCGTTGCTGATCTTTGGGCAGCAACTCTCTTCGCTGGATTATAGAAGGCATCTATGCTCCATGGTGTGCTTGCTAAGATCTGCCTATCACTGAAGTTTGGGAAGTCACCAGGCTCTGCATCCCCATCCGCAGTCAGATGGGACTGTCAGCCAGCGGGTAGAACAGGAGGCTTATTAGTTGATGGGGGCACAGCATAGAACAGACTTGGCAGCACAGTCACCTGAAGCAGTCAGTAAAATCCATCTGGGGAGAGGGGGCTCAGAGCCAAAGGCCCTGACCCCCCTCTCTATACTCCAAGTCAGCAAGACTAAGCAGCATACTCAGCAGCCTGTCCCAGCCTTACAGCCAGCCCTGCCTCTGGCCTTTGTCCTGCTTCCTGGGGAAAAGAACATAAGAACATAAAGACGGACATACTGGTCAGGCCAAAGGTCCATCTAGCCCATTATCCTGTCTTTCAACAGTGGCCAATGCCAGATGCCCCAGAGGGATTGAATAGAACAGGGAATCAAGTGATCCCTCTCCTATTATCTATTTCCAGCCTCTGACAAAGGCTAGTGACACCGATCCCTACCCATCCTGGCTAATAATCACCTAGTCACACAGCCGTCCTGAATTCATGTGACAGAAAGCATCAGCCATTGTATTTGTGGGTAAGGCTACCACACCAAAATTCACATAGCTATTTAGGTATTGGTGCAGTGCCCAGGGAAACTGATGCATACACATGGGATTACTACAGGACAATAGAAATCACATGCCACATAACAAGGGGAATAAAACCCACACAATACCCACTTGTCACAGTGGCAAATTGGCCAGGAGAAGGCCATGGCCCCCGACCAGCTCCCTCTGCCTGGCTGGCCATCAGAGGGAACTGGAAATAGGTAGTTGTCAGAAGGAGGCTGCAGGGAGGGTGTGTTTTTTGTGTGTGCATGCCCTGCACATGAACACTCAATATATGTGCATTATTGTTTGAAGTAGTGAATGACTGATGGGTCTGTGACCATTTTTTCTTGCTATTCATGGATGTCAGACTGTAACACCTACCTCTTAGATAAACAAATATTTCTTGTTATCTTTGCCCAAATAGCTATTGATGTGAGGGAAAACCCTTCTTAAGGCCTGTTTTACACTAGGAGTTTACACCAAATTTAACCATATATATCATTTTCTAAATGATGCATCCACACCACCAAACCTGTTTCACTGAAATTTAGGGCCGCTGAAGTTGATGTCAGTTACTCCTGATTTCATGAGGAGTAACGCTATTCCCGACTTTGCCTGGTTGAGTTTATGATAGTGTAGATGCACCGATGGTGAAAGTCGAGGCTATTGGCCTCCAGGAGGCATCCCACAATGGCCCATTCTGACCACTCTGGCCAGAACTTGAACCTCTTCTGCTCTCCAGGTGATCAGGAAAAGCGCAGTGAAAGTTTGAATTTCATTTCCCGTGTGGCCAGTGTTGCGACCACACCTCAAAGTAAGCAGCACACTTGAGCAGCATACGTGGCCATAACTTCTAATACTTCCACGATTTCCAATACTTCATCTCTTATGGGCTCCACTTCCCAGTGGCACAAAAGAGCACCAGGAGTGTCCGGGAGATCTTGGTCCTCATTGAGGCATGGGGAGAGTAATCCATTCTCTCTGAGCTCCAAACCAGCAAAGAAAATGTGGACATTTACACAAAGATCACAAACTGCTTGGTGGTCAAAGGATATTCCAGGGATGCCCAGCAGTGCAGTCAAAATAAAGGCGCTGAAGCAGTCCTACCATAAGGCAAAGCAGGTGAATCGCTGGTCTGGTGCAAGACCGCACACATGCCAGTTCTGTGAACTGCTGGATGTGATTCTGGGGGCGTGGACCTGACCAGCTTCCCAAGCCTCACCATGGAGGCCAGCCAAGACATTCCTGGCATCAGTGTGGAGGACAGTGTAGTGGGAGTAGGAGGGGGGGAGGGAAAGATGGGGAGAGGAGAATAGCCAGCCAGTTATGGGCGAGAACCAAGAACTTTTTATCATGTTGGAGCCACTCCCCTCCTCCCAAGATGTCTCCTCTTCAAGCACTGATCCTGGGGCGGGCACTTCTGGTGAGTTCACAATTTTTTCTTATTTCAACGGGTTAAGGCAATTGGGCGTGATGTATGGTGTGCTCTGTGCCTATCCAGTGTGGGGGTCCTAGAACAGCTTGTTAAAGTGTCTGCAGATGGAGCAGAAATCTTCCCTGCACATCTCCATGAAACTCTCAGATAGGAACTCTTTGATCCTTCTCACAAGGTTTCTGGGGAGGCTACCTTTATTCCGTCCTCCATGGTAGGACACCTTCCCATGCCAAGCCACCAGTAAGTGGTCTGGCATCATCAGACTACAAAGCATTGTAGCATAAGGCCTAGAGTTATAGCCACATTCAGTCAGCTCCAGTCACTCTATGTGATTTGGAGCAGACTGGTATCTTTCATAGCTACCTGGATGAAGGAGGAAGGGAGGCTATTAGCACTCTCTCCAGGAAGCTGTGTGTGCTGGGCACAGGTCCCTCACTCCTTCCCCCTGCAAGCTCCTGTGAGCTGGGAAAGTAGCCTCCCTGCCCCAGGACATGGGGTAGGGAGGAACTCAAGGGCAGCCTTATCCTCCAGGACCTCAGGAGGCAAAAGGCTGCCCTTCACGTGTTTCTGAGCCCTCTTTCCCCCGTGTTTTCTCACCATGGACTTCTTTTATTTCCCTGCTGATCATAAAAATGCATGATCTCTGAAGAACAGTCTCTTTACTGCTTGTACTGAAGAGGTGGGATGGGGGATTAAAGGCAAACACAGGGAATGCAGGGGTACCTTGTTGAAAGCAATGTGCATGAGTCTCAAAACTGGCCATTCAGAAAACTCCTTCAAAGCCTCTCTTATTTGCGCTGCACTGCCTCACACTATGCTCTCTTTATCACCCTGGTGTCTAGCTGCTCAAAGTTTCTGGCTAGGTGCTCAGCCTCAGCCTCCCACCCTGCCAGATAACTTTCCCCCTTGCTCTTGCGCAGATTATGGAGCACACAGCATGCTGACACCTCGTTCCATGAGGAGTAACAGTAGTTCGGAATACGAAGCCTAATCTGAATTACCTACTTCGTGCCGCGTGTAGCCGCGGGCACGGAGTCCGAACTAGCGGGGCTTTAAAAATGGCGGCGCCCGGCAAGATGCAAATGAAGACCAGGAAATTCAAATCCCGGGCTTCATTTGCAACTTCGGTTGCCTACATTAACCTCCCTAGTTCGAACTAGGGTGGTAGTGTAGACATACCCTTGGATGCCTATCTCACACCTAATCCCCAGTGTGAACCTCTAAGCTGATTGAGATAGGCATGGTAACACCTGTCTCCTGGTCAAGCAAGTGTGCTCAGAGCATGGCTAAAGCCACCCAATCCAGCCAGAGAGATGGGGAAGAGAGGATGATGAAGGGCCTCCCTTGTAACCTTTAGCCTAATATAGTGTTTCTCAAAGTGGGCTGTAGGCCATTAAGTAAACAAACCAGAGCAGCCTGTTAGCAGCTTTCTCAAAGCGAGGCTGCAGCTCACTCTGAGAAACACTGGCCTAGTGGTTAGTGGAATCTGGGGATCTGTGTACACTTCCACTCTGCCTGATGAGTAGGAATTTGAACAGGGCCCTCCTGCATTTCAGGTGAGCACCCTGGTCCTTGAGATATGGGATATTCTGATGTGGGGGTGTTTCTTGTTAAAACCATTTCATTTTGTATTACAAGTTTAATTGTTAATTGGTCCAGAGAGTGATTGAAAATAACTGTATAGTCTATAACTGTACAATCCATTCCCCTCATCAGGAAGAGTGGAAATTGAATCTCATTTCCTGTGTCCCAGGTGAGTGTCCTAACCATTTGATTAAAGATTATTGTTAGGGCCCTTCCAAATCCATAGCCATGTAAAACACATCACAGTCCATGAAATCTGGTCTCTACTATAGTATCACACCAGTAGCAGCACAGAAGTAAGGGTATGTCTACACTACAAAGTTAATTCGAACTAACGGATGTTAGTTCAAATTAACTTTGATAGGCGCTACACTAGCACTCCGCTAGTTCGAACTTAATTCGAACTAGCAGAGTGCTTAGTTCGAACTAGGTAAACCTCATTTTACGAGGACTAAGCCTAGTTCGAACTTACTAGTTCGAATTAAGGGGTGTGTAGCCCCTTAATTCGAACTAGTGGGAAGCTAGCCCTCCCCAGCTTTCCCTGGTGGCCACTCTGGCCAACACCAGGGAAACTCTATTGCCCCCCTCCCGGCCCCGGACCCCTTAAAGGGGCACGGGCTGGCTACGATGCCCATGCCAGGTGCAAGCCTGCCAGCACCCAGTCAGCAGACCCTGCACCTGGCATGGCACGAGCCAGTCACCCGCTGCCACCCAGCCCTCCACCTCTTCCCGGGACCAGGCTGACGGCTCCCAGGAGCCTGCCCCGGGCCG